AGTGAGTTTTATTAGTAACTTCACGTGAATATTGCTTTGAACTATACTTCTAGGTAGGTAGCTGAGAATTTGGTCTTAAATTGATGGCTGTTTCTTTAATTTTTTTTTTTTTAGTCACACTGTCCTGCTTTATTACTTCTGTTGTAATTTGACTGGCATTATTATACTGGGGAATAAACAATAAGCAGTTAGTTGAAGTGGTTGGTATAACGATAAAGTTAAAAAAACTAAACATGGAGGTGATCTTAGAAAATAAAGCTCTAAGCTTAATTTAAGAATATAGTATTAGAGCACTTAAACTGAATCAAATATTGAATCTTTTCACTGAAGAGGAATCTGTTTGTAGGCGCTGCTGATCTGTGTACTGATGGTTCCTGTGGTTGTATCATGAGTTGTTTGGTGAAAACTCTGATTCAGTTTTGAGTTTTTGCTGCTGATATGCTTCCTTTAATAGGAAAGTTGAGCTGCTCAGTTATTAATGTGAATATGCTAATATTTGTGTTTATGTGAATAAACATAAATGGTAATGCCTAATTTATTTTTTAAGTGTAGTCCAACAAAATTATAAAGATGTTGCTTGCATTTTTTCTTGTTTTATGCCAATCCTTTTCTAGGATTTAGCTTAAGGACATGTACAGGATTTTCTGAATTTAAAGTAATTTTTTCCCCTGGAATAAATGCAGGAGATCTGGTAAGAATGTCAGCTGCATAATAAAGTTACATGATAATGTTTCTGAGAAACAGTAGTTACTGGCCATAAGAAGCCTGGCTGTATGCAAAAATGTATATTGGTTTTGTATTGTGACATCACACAGATTTCAGGGATTGTGGGCGTTGTGAGGAATACAATAGCTGTAATTGTGAAAGGAAGCTTGGTAAGACAATTCACTGAACAAAGTGAATGTTAGATAAATGGATATTTGATTTAATAATGATTACAATAAAATGCATCTCTAATTCTGTTTTAGTAATGTAAATAACTAAAGATTTTCCCTTTGAAATAGATCTAATTATTTTATTACTGTTTCTTCTTTTTGCAAACATATTCTTATATTTGTAAGTAAGAGATATAGTCTAAGTGTTGTGGTGACATAGTGTCTCATTCTGCGTTTAGAGTTTTATAGTTCATGGCTGATCATGATTCCAGTAGCATTGAGGTGATATGTTTCCAGAGACTCTGGGACCTTCTGTGTATGCTGGTTTGGCTCCAGTCAGAATGCACTGAGCTTTATAATTGCTTCCTTTGAGAGGATTCAGATTCCATAGACTAACTAGGGAATATTTTTGTTTGTGGCAGTTTGTTAATTTGTATCCTTGACAAGAGTACCAGTATGCATGTGCTGTGAAAGACAACTGTTACTGCAAATCTTCCAACTAGTTTAAAGTATTTGGCTTGTGTCCAATGAATTGCCACATAGGAAAAATAAGACTGCAAATAAAAGGTGGTGTGGTATAAGAAGCTGAATACACGGCACCATGATCTGCAAGAGCAGTCTTGCGTATTTTATTGGCATTTATGTGTCTGATTGAACAGATTCTAAGCAATAGGATGTAATGCAGATACCATCAGTCTGTTTCTTGACTGGTTTAGAGAAAGCTCTGAAAGGAAATGGTAAAAAGAAACTGAAGAACACCGGAAAGCTACTTACTACCTTAATAGCTTTACAAATTTAGATTGTATTGTATAGAGATGTTTTGCCAAGATACAGCTTAAAATTAAGTCAGTAATAGATGAGGTTAAATGCAAGTGGTATTGCCATTGACCTGAGAGTTACATATTCCTTTGGCTGTCTCTGCTGCCTGTTTATCAAGTTAGTTTTTTTTTTTCCTGAATGAGGACACACACATAAAATAATTGAAGCTATGATGTGATATCTGTGTCAAAGCAAATAAATGGAATTTTTTTCCTTAAGATATAAATGTGTTTTTGCTAGTCATATATATGGCTACATGCAGTGGCAACACATTGCTACATCCACTGCTACATAAACAACATGCACCCTCAAGCTTAAATCAGGTTTCATGGTGAAGTTCTTGAAAAAGACAACCAAGATGGATAATGTCCCAAAGTGGAAATAGCTTACTATTTTCTTTGTTTTAAAGAGATTTGGCAGATACAGTTTGATCTACTAGTCGTGTTTTCTTTATTCTAATATTTTATCCTTTCATCATTGTAGCTGAAGTCAGATATGTCAGCTTTAAAAGCTCTCTGGACTTCATACATAAACATGGTGAACTAAAGTATTTGAGTGAAAAGTAAAGAGTATAATCCATAAATTCACATAACTGTTTTAGGGGGCTCTTGCCCCCCCGCCCTCCCCACCCCCCCTTCTCAGTGGATAGTCAAGTACTTTTGGAGTGTTTGGACTTGATTTTGGAGACCAGAGGTGTACAGCAGTAATGTTTTAGGTGGCTAATGAAAGTTAACTTTTGTAGAAGAAACTGGAATCCAAGTGATGTTCAAAGTAGTTAATTTCCAAGTCAAGACTTCTCTGACATTTATCAAGAGTAAAATAGGATTAAAATCATACTGGCTTATCTTGGGTTTATGATTTTATGACAGGGAAGTCACCTAAGTATTGTGGATTGTTTAGTCAATTGAGCCCATTCAAATGAAAGTGTTTTACTTGTCAACAAGTATAAATATCTGGGGATAGGGAAATATGACTCGTACCCAAAAAAAAGGATTCTAGTTTCAGAGCTTTAAACCTAGAAAGGAAAGTGTTTAATTGTTAAAGTAACTTAGTGGAAGTATGTGAATCTACTTTTTTGGCCACAAATAATTTTCCTTTTTTATGGAAGAAGAGGAAGTTATATATAACTTTTAGTGACATTTGTGTGACAAGCACTGTATTCTGCTTATAACTGGAGAGGGGTACTACTTTTTTAAAAGGATTTTTAAGAATGGGGAGAAGATCTGTCAAGGTACAAGAAAGGATTGAATGGTAATCAAATTAATTGTTAATCAAGAAACTGAAGACCAGTGGCTTTTTCAAATTCACAGCAAGACAACTGGGATGCATCTTAAACGCTCAGCGTATTTTCTTCTTTTGTTCTACAGTGGTTTGATCTGGAGTGATTCAAAGTGGAAATAAAATACATCTTCTTAATTGGTATTAAGTAGTGGAATATCTTGTCAAAATAGGGGTTTCTTAAGTTTCTAAAAATCAGAGTTTCTTTTTTTTTTAACTTAAAGCAATATCTCTTAAAGGTTTATATAAGAGAGCTTACATTATCTCTATAGTGGGAGAAAAAGCCTCCTATATGATTTTATTAGTTTAGTTTAGTTTTTATTAGCATGTTACGTTCTGACTTCTGGAGATTTACAGACATGGAGAAAGAATGTAAGTAGCAGAATGATACCCACTTATTGCTTTTAAGCAAAAGTACTAAGAGTACTTTGATTAAGAACCAAAGCCCCTAACTTCTAGTACTTTGAACTGCTAATATCAAATTATTTTATCAACATGGGTAATTTTAGACAGGGTGCTCCATATGCACTGCAGAAGTTAGTATGTGTTAATCATTGTTTTGGGATGTTTTGTTATTCTCATCTAATCAGAGGATCAAGTGTTTTAGATATCTATCTGGTAATTCAGGATGATATTTTTAAATTGAAGAACACCATCTCATACCTTATTCTGATACAGGATGTAGTGTGGTCTGTGCTTCTTCATTAGTAGCAATAAGCTGCTCTTGTGAAGTCTTTCTGAAGTGGTTACAATTATGCATTTTAAGTACATTAGTATAGAGAAGGGTGTGATGATACATATTGAAAACCAAATTGTAGCTTGAGTCTTCTGTTAACTGAACAGTTAAGCTGGATTTTTAGGGGTTCTTCTTTAAATATTCTGACTTGTAGGAAAAGAGATTAGTGAAAACTTTCTTAAAAACAGTGCTTTGATCTGATGTTAATTTGGCTAAAACAGTATTTTCTTATAATTTTTTTTTTACCCAAAGCTGCAGTAAATACAGTTACAAATTTGTGCCCTCAGTGTAAGTGTCTCTATAGTAAGGTATGAAAAATTGAAGGCTTTATGTACTTCAGAAAACACTCAGAATTAGAGTTACATTTGGCCTACAGAGAATGAAGGTGAAATCCAGTGTTTCATTAAAGTGTTCTGAAAACAAGTTTTGTGCTTCTGTATAGTGCAGTATTGAAACATTGGACACTGTAGAAAAGGCTCGCATGAAAAGAATACATTTTTTTCAGAGTATTAAATATTTGGAATAAATGAAACAGAAGATGTGTACTAAAGAACAAAAAACCAAAGATCTGGAATAACTAGCTTCCCTAAGTAAACAAAATTTATTCTGCTGAATGAGGACATTGTCCTGTGCATGTGAAAAAGTGCAAGATGAGTAGAAGCAATTATATCAAGTTATTTTTAATTAAATAGATACACAATACATATTTTATGAAAAGGAAGTAAAATTGGATCATAAGGCTTTATTTATATTTTCAAATTTCTGGATAGTCTGTCTCTCTAAGGCAGGTGTTCATTTAAAACTATAAAGTCCAGACTTATGTATCATTGCACTCTTGGGTTTGTTAATCTTTTTGATTTTTTTTAAAATGATTTCTCTAGATAGTAAGGTGGTTTATTCCTAAAGGTAGGAATAGCCTTGATTTAAAAAGTTTAAGTGCATTTTTTTGTACAAGAGCTTATTTAAGCCTTTCTTCATAGCATTTCAAAACCCTGTTTTAATTTATGGTTACAAAACTTAATCGGGAGGTTATAATTTCAATTTTTTGTAAAAGTCTTGATATCTTTCACAAGTCAAATATGTAATAGTACCATTTTCGTTAAAATTTTTGTGACTGTCTTCAATATTCCTGTTGTGTCTTTTACCTGTAGTTTTTATGAGGTTTATTTTTGTTTCTATGTGAAAAATATATTTTTAACTTACGATCAGCTTGAAATTGGGTAGGAATTGTATTGCTATGTACCTTAATCTTATTTAACCCCTTATCATTACTTTGTATTTTCATTTTACAGATGGAATACCTCAGGTTTATTATTTTGGCCCATGTGGCAAATATAATGCTATGGTGCTAGAACTACTTGGACCTAGTCTGGAAGATTTATTTGACTTGTGTGGTAGGACATTTTCTCTTAAAACCGTTCTTATGATAGCCATACAGTTGGTAAGTAGAATAGATGTTAATTTGAGTGTTCACTAGATTAACAGTCTTCAGTTGATTAAATGATTACTTCACTTAGGAGATTTGCACTTTTCATGTTTTAAATTGGTGTTAATGATATTTAAAATGCTTGTGATTCAGTTTAAGCAGGAATACTCTTACATTGCTTTCATTTACTTTGTTCCAGTTTTTCAAGTAAGTTCATGTATGTAATTGCTTGTGTCTTTTGAGTTCTCATCACAATTTAAAATCATGAATTTTAGTTTGACGTACTCTTTCAAAAAAGAAAACCTTAAAGAAATGAAAGTAATTTTAGCCCACACAAGCAGTTGTATTATGAGACTCCTAAATAGCATAAGTATTTTTTCCTAGGCATTCTTATAAGAAGGCAAACAAACAAATGAAAAAATTCCCCAAATCTTTCCAGAAATTATAGCACAAAATTACTCAACAAAGAATTATTCTCTTTTTTGAAGATTTCCTTATTTGGTTCTAATTTGAGGGTGGGTGGAAGTGGAAAGGATGCTTAAGGCTGTGCTTGTTTACCAGATTTCCAATTCCTGAAATAATGATATTTTTACCTGTAATGGTTAAAAATAGCTGTTTAAAGCATGATTATAATTGTATAACAGGCCTCCAATTACAGACATACAGACACATTGAACTTATTTACAGCCAAAATGGCCAAGTTCTTTTTTTTAAATGCTCAAGTCCTCACAAGTTCAAAGATCAGCTTTATTTACTACTTCCTGTTCTCTTCTGAATGTGGAAATTTTTATGGAGAGCAGTCCAGATAGAATGGGCTTTATATGCGTTGTGATGAACTTTCAGTGCTCCTCTCATTTATATCTTTAACATGTAATAGATCTACATCAAACTTTGCTGCTTACTTCTTGGTGACATAATTTCTGGTTTTACTTTTAATGTGCAGAAAACATACCAGCTCTTTTGAGAGACAGAAACGTCTTTTGTTTGTAAGATTCATGACTAACGTCCAGTGTGAAAGTTTCCAATAAACCAGCTGGTGTATCTGCTTTGGAAAAAGTGTGCAATTTTCATTGACTTTAACTGGGAGATACTTCCTTAAGAACAATATTGCTTTGGTCTTAAGATATTAAGAGGGGTGGTTTCTTATGTGTATAAAGCCAATATAAGATATTTAGATTCTAACACATTTTAATGTGGCAACCTGAAACTTAAGCTAAACTTCCTTGTCTGTTTGTTTCTTTTATTGAAGATTTCTCGTATGGAATATGTCCATTCAAAGAACTTGATATACAGAGATGTAAAACCTGAGAACTTCTTAATAGGACGACCTGGAAACAAAACCCAGCAAATTATTCACATTATAGACTTTGGTTTAGCAAAGGAGTATGTAGATCCAGAAACAAAGAAGCACATACCATATCGAGAACACAAGAGCCTTACAGGAACAGCTAGATACATGAGTATAAATACACATTTAGGAAAAGGTACGTGTGCTTTTTAGGTACAGAAACAGTTGTGATTTGTCATAAACCATCTTGCTTTCAAGTTACAGTTTTTCTCAGTCTATAGTATTTAAGAACTGCAAATTTTGTGTATTGTGCAGAATATAATTTGGCCTTATGGAAATACTGTTTATGGGAATAATTTTTTTTTAATCTACTCATCTTGATCATGTCTTGGGAATTCTCCTCTTTGTTAGCTTTCCTTAAAAGAAAGATGAGGTGTATCTTTTTGTAGCATAATACATTCATATTATAAATATACCATGGCAGGGTGAAGTGTCTGGGAAATAGATATGCTTATTAAATACACAGAAGTCAATAGGTTGCAGTAGCCTGGATTTTCAATGCTTCCTTGCTTTTCTGATCTCTTTGAAATGCACCATAAGATAATAAAATAGCTTAGAGATAATGCTGAGTTTTCAATTTTTTTTTTCGGTGCTTACACTGTTAATAAGGCTTTGTCAGAGTCATTAAAGGCTATGCCAGCAAGCTAAAGAAATTACAGGATGTATATAAATATAAAAGTTGTTATTATTGAATGAATAAATTCACCTTGAGAAAGGTATGAGCACTCAGATCTTTGTTTATTACAGCTACAGAGAGGTTTTCTAGTGAAAATAGTTACACCCCTTTGAATTTGTGTAAGCCAGTTGCTTATCACTGCATGGTAATCACTAATTAGGTTATTCTTTGAATTGATCATAGAAACATTGCACAATTACTGTAAGCATAACCGTTAATATGAGCAAATGAGAAACCATTCACACTTCTCAGGCAGGAATAAGGTACTATATCGATAAAGCAGAGCTATGGAATCACTTTGGTTGGAAAATATCCTTAAAGTCATCAAGTCCAACTTTTAACCCACCACTGCCAAATCCACCACCAAACCATGCCCCTAAGGGCCACATCTACAAGGCTTTTAAGATACCTCTGGAAATGGTGACTCAATCACTTCCCTGGGCAGCCTTTTCCAGTGTTTGAGAACCCTTTTGGAGAAGCAAATGTTTCTAGTATCCAGTGTAAACTTTCCTGTGGCACAACATTAGGCTTTTTCCTGTTGTGCTATTCCTTAGTCCTTGGGAGAAGAGGCCAGCCCTCACCTGGCTACACCCTCTTTTCAGAGAGTTGTAGAGAGTGATAAACTCTCCCCTGAACCTCCTTTTCTGAACACCCTCAGCTCCGTCAGCTGCTCCTCATAGGATTTGTGCTCCAAATCCTTCACCAGCATTGTTGCTCTTTAGTGGGCATACTCCAGCACCTCAAGTGTAGGGTTTGAGCTTTCTAAATCTGACTTTTGGAACTCAGGTTCTTCCTGAGAAGAAAAAAGAAGAAGCATCCACTTTATTTTTGAGGTATAAATGGTGATGTCCGCTTAATGTGACTATTACATGTTTGACACTGGGCTCTCATCTCCACTAGCAGGATAGACTTCTGATTATTACAACATTTTCAACAGTGGCACAACCACTTTTAAAATAAAATTTTTTACTCCTCCTTAAATAAGAAGATTGCCTCCAAACCTTTTAAGAAAAACAAACCAAAATGTAAAACTGGTAATTACTTGAAAAGCAAACTGAATTTTGATTACGTGTCTGATATTTACACAGGATGTGTTTATTTTTGTCTAATGGTAACTTGTTTAATCATAGAATGGTTTGGGTTGGAAAGGATCTTAAAGATTATCAGTTCTGACCCTGTTGCCATAGGCTGGAACACCAGGTTTCTCAAAGCCTCATGCAAATTTGCCTTGGACAGTTCCAGGGATGAGACATCCACAGCTTCTCTGGGCAAGGTGTTTCAGTGTCTTGCCACTCTCACACTGAAGAATTCACCTGAATATTTAATCTAAACTTACTGTTAATCAGTATGAAACCACTAATTCTTGTCCTGTCACTACGTGTCCTTGTAAAAGGACCTAGCTTTCTAGCAGGCTCCCTTTGGGTACTGGAAGGTGCTGTAATGTCTCCCTGAAGCCTTTTATCTCCAGCCTGAACAGCAGCAACTCTCAGACTGCCTTCATGGGAGGGGTACTTCCTGAATGTCTTCATGGACTTGCTTGATCAGGTCCATGTCCTTTGTATCTTTGGGACCTCAGAGCTGGATGCTGCACTGCAGGTGGGGTCTCACCAGAGCAGAGGTGTAGAATCCCCTCCCTCGCTCTACTGGCCACACTGTTGGGGATGCAGCCCAAGACATGTTTGGCTTTCTGGGATGTGAGTGCACATTGTGGGGTCATGTCCCACCTCTCATCCACCAGCACGTGAAAATCCTTCTGAGGGCTGTTATGCATTCTCTGCCCCACCTGTATTTTTGCTTGGTTTGCCCTAGCTTTGGTGCAGGTCATTGCACTTTTCGTTGTCATGCTCACACAGGCCCATCTCCCAATCCTGTCCAGGTCCCCCTGTGGCATCCCTTTCCTCAAGCATACTGACAGCACCACACAGCCAGGTGTCACTGGCAGACTTGGTGAGGGTGCTCTTGATCCTACTGTCCATGACACCAGCAAAGGTGTCACCCAGCAGTGTTCCCAGTACGACCCCTAAGGAACTAGTGTCCACTTCTACAGGGAGTTCTTGAACATGATTTACAGTGTGACCACTCAGCCAATTCCTTATCCCTTGTTTCATCTGTCAAATCAGCATCTCTCCAGTTCAGAGACAAGGATGTCCTGTGTTACAGTGTCAAATGCTTAGCACGTATCTAGCTAGATTATGTTGGTTGCTCTGTGCACCTTCAGGTTCCTTAGATGGGCTCCTGATCTACAGTGTTCTTCATTCTGGCAGTCCTTGCCCTTGTTTTCCTGTGACATGAGTGATGTGACTGGAATACATACCAGGGAAGATGGAGGCAAAAAAGTAATTTAATGTTCCCGATATCTAATCTAAAATTTCTGTGGCACAACATGAGTCATTTTTTGCCTCAGCTTTCTCTCTGTCCCAGGCCTCCTGTTTCCTTCTGGAGAGGTCATGCATTTTTCATAATTTTCCTTGTGTCATCATCTTACTTACAGAAGCTCTTCTTGTTGCCCTTGACATCCCTGGCCACATTTAATCCTATCAGGGCTTTAGCTTTCTTAAGCTGATCTCTGGCTGTTGGACAATTTCTCTGTATACTTCCCAGACTACCTGTCCTTGCTTCCCCTCTCAATATGCTTCCTCTTTTTTTTTTTTTTTTTGATTCATTTAGGAGCTCACTGTTCATCCATGCAGGCCTCCTGCTGTTTTGTGCTTGACTTTGTTGGAAGGCATTGCTCCTGGGCTTGGAGGAATTAATGCTTAAATATTAACCAGCTTTCTTAGGACCCTGCTACCCTGCAGAGCTTTATCTCATGGAACTCTGCCAAGCAGATCCCTGAAGAGGCCAAGCTGCATCTGCTGAAATTCAGGGTACTGGGTTTGCTTTGCTCCCTTCCCACTATCTTTAGGATCTCAAACTCCAGCATTTCATGATCACTGCAGCCAAGGCTTCCCCTGAGCTTCTCATTTCCCACCACCCTCTCCTTGTTGGTGAGAACAAATTCCAGCATGGCACATCTCCTTTTTACCTTCTTTGTCACTTGGAGAAGGAAGCTATCATGAAGGATAACTTACTGGATTGCTGATGCCTTGCTGTCTTGTCATTCCAGGAGATATCAGAGTGGTTGAGGTTCCCCTGTGAGGACCAGGGCTTGTGAACATGAGGTGGTTCCTGTATATTGTTACGAATTAGTGTTTGAGATCACTTAAAAAATCATCAGCAAGGGTATCAGTAAAAGCCTGATTTCATATTAAGCAACAACAAAGTTCTTTGCAAGATTCACTCTACCACTTACTAGTCAGTTACACCAAGGAAAAAGAGAAAACCCAAGCCCCTATTAAAATCCAGTCAAAACTGAAATGAACTGAGAACTGTCTAGGGCTGTGTGTGTGTTTAGGTGCATGTGACAAGTGATAAAAGGACAGTGAGGGCAAGTATAAAAAAGAATACAGCCTAAAAGCTTAACAGCACTCAGAAGTATTTAACCTTAACTTACACCTTTACTTAAACCTTAAACTTAATTCAATGTAGGAATTAGCAATTAACAGCATTTAACCTATCTGGTAACTTAACCTTATTTAACAAGCTTAACTTTGATATCCAATATACTTGGACATCTAAGAGAGCAGCATTTCTCCCAAAATTTGCTGTAGCATATGTGTATGTTTATGCACACAGGCAGAATCAGTGTAAAGTACCTGTGAAAAAAATCCCCTCAAAGGCAGTGAAATACATACTCTGGGTGCTTTTGCATTTCTTCATTGTGCAAAGAGTTGAGCCATGAGGAGAGGGATGTTGGCCTATAATTCATTTATGTCCAGCAATCATCTGAGTACAGCAAACTTGGGAGTTTGTGGGCTTTGAGAGGCCCAGCTCAGAGAGAGGTTGCTGGTCACAGCTGCTGCAGTCCAGAAGAACTCAAAGGTTCTCATTTTAGACCACTGTTTTATAGGGTCACAAGAGAGTGGGCTTTAGTCATAATAATCTTTCATCCTGGCCACAGTGTGGGTTGGCACAGAGTTGAAAGTGTGAGAACAGGGATGTTATGCTACACAAGCAAGAAAAATAGTTTCCAAGGCTTTTCATAAAGAAAACATGAGTATGTTAGACAGCAGGGACTCCTGGGAGCAAAGGGTTTTTGATAAACTCAAGAAAAGTTGAGCCCAGGTGCTGTTTGTCATGCTGAGATGTAATGAGCTTTTTTTCAGTTAACAGTGTGGCCTAGAAGGGGTGAGGGAGGGATGTACCACCATGGGAACTCAGTTGCTCAGTCCTGCTGGCTGGAGGGCCTGTGGCTACCTAACCCTAAGCCCTCCCATTAATCATTCCCCAGTAGCTCTAGGTCAGCTCCTCATCCATCCCCGAAATGGGGGCAAATGGGGATTGAGCTCCATACACGCAGCTGGCTATTGCTGTGGAGGATGCCATTGCCTCCTGGTCTCCCTTGCCTCTCCTTCCTAAAGAGCCTGAATCATTCTATTCCAACGATTTTTTTTATGTTCTGTGATACGTAGTATATTTTTGCACATATATATTTTTTTTTTTTGCACATATATATATATATTAACATGCAGTGAGACATACAGAGCACTGAAGGTCCTCAAGCTCTGTGTTTACAGAGACAGTGGCATATAGGATACAGTTTACTCTGAAAATAGTGGTAATAAGATAATTTTTAGGGTGGTATTTTTAGTCTGTAGATAATTTCCTCAGCTGCTTGAATGGTCTGACTGCTGACCCTTGTAAAAAAATAAGTGTTTTCAGTAAACAGGGAGGCTGTCAGGTTCACATTCTCTTAAAAGTTATTTTTTAATATGTCTCTATTGATGTGTAACTTTATCTGTTAGTGTGTATGAGTAAGGAAGGATGTTGTCCTTGAATAAAAAGTGTATTTTAGGATCCAGAAAGCATAGTCACATGGAGTCATTACTTACTCTTATTTAGCCATCTGTAATGCTCTCTGGGGAACTACCCATATCCTTGATTGTATTGGTCTTTTGATGATAGTGCTTAATTATTGCAGAGGCAAAGGTTAGTAACTGTACAATGAATACTTGAAACTCTTCTGGGAATGAAGCAAGTCTGCTCTTAATATGAATAGAAAGGCAAATGAAAACAATTTCTTTAAACATGTACTTATCCTCAAACAAAATTAGGAAAACCTCATTCCTACCTTTAGTACATGTGCTCTCTTGTCAGAGCTGTCATAGGTTCTAGATTAAGAATCAGTTTTGCAGGAGCCAAACTTGTGTTGTAAACCATCTACAAATAATTCTACATTGGATCAATTTTAATTAACTTCCTACTGCAAGAACAATGAACATTTGGTCCTAACATTTTATTAAATCCTAAAATTTACTAAATCTTGAAGTTTTTCCAGTAGCTCAAAAAAAAAATCCCTTCTGCATTTTTGAGAATGATTTCTTTCAGCATGATAATTTCTTTTAAGTGCTGTTGAGATGAATATACCTGCAGTCTGCATCTGCTTTTTTTCTGGGTTTAGCTGTGTTCTTAAGGCAGTCCATAGTACACAAGAATGCCCTCAAATGCTTAGTTTGGTATCAAGTACTTTATACCTAACAATTATTTTTATATAATTTGGAAGCTAGTCTTCTAGATATAATGTAAAATTACACAGATGGAAGTTTCTAATAATATTTGCATTTTGTTTCAGAGCAAAGTAGAAGAGATGATTTGGAAGCATTGGGTCATATGTTTATGTATTTTCTCAGAGGAAGTCTTCCATGGCAAGGTTTAAAGGTAGTGGGTTTTGATATCTGCCTCTGTCCTGTTTTCAGATCATCAGCTTTTATTGACCTGTTTGGGGTTTTTTTGAATGTGTGTCTGTGAGCTGTGTAACTTCAGAAGCTTGTTTGTTCTTCTGTCACAGGCGGATACATTAAAGGAACGTTACCAGAAAATTGGAGACACTAAACGAGCAACTCCTATAGAAGTATTGTGTGAAAACTTCCCAGGTAATGTCTGCTGTTACATAAAAATGTTGTGTATTGGTTTATAAAGTGAAACTGGTAATTGCTGGAGTTTAAAAATACAGTATGTGTAATACATCACAGTATCTCAGAATGGATCAGGTTGGAAGGGACCACAGGAGGTTGTGTGGTCCAATCTCCTGCTCAAGCAGGGCCATCCCAGAGCACATGGCACAGGGTTGTGTCCAGATAATTCTTGAGTATCTACAGTGAAGGAGATTCCAAAACTTCTCTGGGTAACCTGTTCCAGTACTCAGTCACCTGCACAGTAAAGGAGTTCTTCCTCATGTTTGAGTGGAACTTCCTGCACATCAGCGTCTGCCCATTGCCTCTCCTGCTGTTGCTGGGCACCACTGAGCTGAGCCTGGATTCATCCTATTGACAACTACCCCTTAGATATTTGTATATATTAATCAGGTCCCTCTCAGTTGCCTCTTTTCAAGGCTGAACAGGCCCAGCTCCCTCAACCTTTCCTCATATGAAAGATGTTCCAGTCCCATGATCAGCTTGGTAGCCCTTTGCTATACCCAGTCCAGGAGCTCCATGTCTCTCTTCTGTTGAGGAATTCAGAGCTGGACATAGCCATTGAGTAGAGGGACAGGATCACCTCCCTTGACCCGCTCTTCATAATGCCCCCCAGGATTCCATCGGTCTTCTTGGCCCCCAGGGTGCACTGCTGGCTCTGAAGAGCTTGTAGTCCACCAAGACTCCCAGGTCCATCTCTGTAGAGGTGCTTCCCAGCAGGTTTGGCCTCCAGCTTGTGCTGCTGCACAGAATTATTCTTCCCCAGGTGCAGGACCTTGCATTTTCCTTTGCTGAATTTCAGAAGGTTCCTCTGTGTCCATCTCTCCTGACTGCTGAGGTCCTTCTGAAGGGCTGCTCAGCCCTCTGGGCTATTGGCTACTCCTCCCAGCTTTGTGTTGTCAGTGAAATTGCTGAGGAGGCCTCTGCCCCTTTGTCTGAATCATTGATGGATAAGTTGAACAATACTGGGCCCGGACAGAAGAATTGTCCTTTGAAGCAGCAGTAAGCTAATGCTGTTGTTCTTCAAATATAGATTCTTCTAAATGAAACATTAAAAAAATACTGTATGTGTGCTTACAGTAATCAGCTAGTCTGCACCTGTATCTTCACACTGAAAATTTTGCAAGCCTTTTCAGCTGAAATCTGGTATCTTATCCCTATTAATATTAATTAAAATCATACCCTATTAATACCCCTATAAAAAACAAGCTGCATTAGAAACAGCTTGAACTAATATTTAAAATTACTTGTAAGTTTCAGGTGTGACTTCTAGGTCTCTATAAGTACAAGGAGAATCAATGAGGTGTTGGAAAATGGGACAGAAGGAAATAGGATGTTTTTTAAAAGTTGTAATAAAGTATTTGGAGCAGGGGACATGTATGGCATGGACATGATTTTGCCAAAATATAAGTGCACACCTTGAAAGCTAATCAAAATATCATTGATAGGCAAAGTGGATTTGCTGAGAGTAGCTCATGACAAATGAAAGGAAAGCGTGTCCACAGTAGGCCTTGTGGACACAAGACTGATGCTTTATGTTGTATACCCCTTTCTTTACCTTTCCTTAGTCTTGTCTCTGTAAAATTGGTTGGAAAGAAAGAATAAAGTAGAGGCATTTCTCTCCACACATTTTTGCACACTGTGCATTAGAATTAGAACATTGAACAGAAGATCTCAACAGGTAACATGAAGGAAAAATTAGTAGGGTGTTACTTGCTAGGATATGTTTGGAATATGGTAGTATATCTCAGAATATGGTAGCATTTCAAAGAATGCTATTAAATAGCTTTTCTTTCTGGTAATTCACAGATTCATGGTGAACAACTGTTCAGGTTTTATGGTGAGAGGTACAAGTTGCTTTAAAATGAAATAAGGTAGTGGGAATTTTTTTGAGTTCCATTAAAACAGATAATGGCATATGTATATATTTCTTATTTATCTAGAGGAAATGGCTACTTATCTACGTTATGTAAGAAGGTTAGATTTTTTTGAAAAGCCAGACTATGACTACTTAAGAAAGCTCTTCACAGACTTACTTGATCGGAAAGGCTATATGTTTGATTATGAATACGACTGGATTGGCAAACAGTTGGTGAGTACAGTTCTGCTGTCAGTACTGTAATGGATTTTTCTATGATCAGTTTTGAATTTCATAAGACGTGCTTTTCAAGGCTGCTGATAGAGCTGTGAACAGCTGCTATTACAAGTCCATCTGCAGATGCATGTTCTGACTTAATCTTTGGGCTTGAGTGCTTCATATTCTCTTTCCAAATGTGCTCTTATTATCAAAGTATATCTCTGCTCAATCCAAAATGAGGTGGTAGAAATTCAGGTTGTTTTTTGAAGGAACTTAACATTTCGCAAGTAATTGTCATTACTGCATGTATTTTTTTTGTTCCCAGTATTTTTAAAATGCAGAGCTATATAGCTGCATATGAGGTATACTCAATGTATTTATCAGTTCACTATGATAAAATATTGCATAGTTCATTGAATATTTCATCATGGTGCCGCTAAGGTTTCAGGAAACACTCTGTATAATTTAAGAAATTGTAGATGATGGAGTTTTCTTCAGCTTCTCAAATTGTTTCACTTCTTTTTATTATGTAGTGAAGGGAGGGCTAATTTGTGTTTGACCAGTTTCAGATTATGCACTTCACTCTTCTCTGTGTGATTCTGAAAGAACTGTAGCATTTATTTTATTGCTGAGTATATTTTTCAGTGTTTAGCATTAAAAATTGCTTTAAGCTTTTCTTTAGAATGTTGTAACTGCTAACTGCAGAAAGTATCAACCTAAAATCTTTCAGAAAATTAATGTATAATACTTAGAATTGCTACTTCAATACATTCTGTAAGTCATGGTTTGCTTTTTTTCTTGTTGGTATTAGTAAATATCTAGTGAAGCTTCTGCTTTAATCTGATAATTTTGTTTTACTTGAAACTGTCAGATTTAAATATTATTTTCTGTTACAAGCCAGTAACTTTTGATGAGACTTAGAAATTTATTTTTTTTACCAGTTGCTACATATTATTTATATTTGTAGCCTACTCCAGTGGGTTCAATACATTCAGACCCTGCAATGTCTTCAAACAGAGAAGCATATCAGCACAGAGACAGAATGCAACAATCCAAAAATCAGGTAAACTGCTTGTGTAAGATTATCAGCATTACTGTGTCTTTTGTCTAATGATTTGTGCTGTGTTTTTATTAGAACTTGAAAATAAAATTGACTCTAGGTTTTCTCTGCTTTCGCTTTAAGTAGATCTTTGTTAAATCTACATATGTAGAGATACATATGTATCTCCTAAAAGCTTACCCCTTTGAATCTATGGTATAGTGTAGTGAATCAGTAGTGAATTTTCTCTCTACTCACACTTCTTTATTTGCTGTCTCTCCTCCATTCTCTTTCCATTCTGACGTGTATATATAATATTTTCACTTTTTTTTTTTAACCAGGCTAATGACTTAGGTGGTAACAATGTTAGGAATTCAGAGCTGTGTCAGTTTACCTAACCAAAATTGGAGGGTTGTTTTAGTGTGCTTTTTCTTACTAAGAATTTTGAGGTTTAGCTACTTCAGCTCTCTGTGAACATTTTTATGAAGACATGTGTAAGTATGTTGATAATGTTGGAGTGTAATCTATATAGAGATTGAGTATGTAGTGCTTCTGTACTTCTTAAAAATATGACAGTTAATGCACATATTGTTTGTTTTAAATTTTTTTCTTCTTTTGCATAAATCCTAATACATTCAAAAATGATAGTCAACAGACCATCGGGCAGCTTGGGACTCACAGCAAACCAATCCACATCATTTGAGGGCTCACCTGGCCTCTGACAGACATGGTGGCTCTGTACAGGTATTTTCTGCTTCTTTGCATGACCTTTTACATTACATGATACTACTTTCCTGTAAGGTATCACATGATTCATGTTTTCATCTTAAGATTGCTTATCAATAATGTTCAGAATGCTTCTATTATTTATTATTTCACAGGTCAGTCGTCAAACTGAAAACAGGTGCTGAAACTATGGAACTTTTTGTTGATGGAATTTCTCTTGCATGTTTCTTAGTAAAAGTCAAACATAAAACAGTTGAACTGTCTTTTTTACAGAGTATATACTCACCTCAGTGGAAGCAACTGAAGTTTAGACTTTAAATGTGTTAATTGTATTAGCAACTGAAACCCACTATTCACTGAATTCAGTGTTGTTCAAGCCATGTTTTTGTTTCTTAAGTAAACATAAATTATAATTAAATAATTAAAATGCTACTTAGTGATGTTTGCTTAAACTTCACTCCATTATTCAAATAGTAATTGACTAGAGCAATGTTCCCAGGGCAGCACCTCAGACATCTCAGTGAAAAAAATGTGTAGAAACCAAAAATTTTTCCTATATTATTAATTTATTTCATCTTCAAAGAACTCTTTTTCTGGTTTGTTATCAATTTTTAAAATTAATTTTTGAAATTTTTGGTGTCTCACTCTTTGAATATATTTAGGTGTGAGATAGTTGGAGCAATGTGTGAGGAACTAATACTGAGATATTCAAAATGCCAACTGTGAAGTCTACGTGAGATTTTGAGCTTTGAGTCCAAAATGAAAATTATTTAGCTTTGTGATGTCTTATCTGGGTGGAAGTTGTGTTTGGAAATTGTCTGCTGTGTTTTTGATTATGACAATCTAAGTTACGTATGTTTCTTCTGAAGTTTCTGGTTTGGAGAAAGATTGTCATGACCTGAAGAAAGAATAAAAAGTTCAGGGTACAGAAAACAGAGCTGCAGTCCTGTCAGTGTGATAAAATTCTCTAAATTTTGTTGCTTTGGAAGCAGCTGTTGTGTAATATTAAAAAATCTAGTAGGTGATAATTGTTATGGTATGTAAAGAAATATTTAAAATTGCTTTGTTCTTCCCAATAACAAATGTTTAAAAAAGCTTTCTTTTCCCATATTTTAGGTTAGAAAAATACACATTGAATTTGTTAAATTACAGTTAGTAGACTTTCCAAAGTGTCATCATATGACTCTGTTGGCAATTGTAAATAAAAGGTTCAGAAACCTTTTATTCTTTGTCAGGTAAAATGTAACAACTACAATAAATTTTCTTCCATTGTAAAATATGCTAAATACCCTTTGGGGATTGGGAGAACATTTTCTAGGAAATAACACAAGTAACGCTAGTACTCCTTACTGTTAATGTAGTGTTGTTTCTATCCTTTTTCCTCACTGGATACAGGCAGTCTGTCTGAGTTCAGATCATTTAGATCTGTTGAGGCTAAGCAATTGCCACATCAATAAAAGCACTGTGCAAAACTGCAGCCATGGTCTTTGTCTTTGAAGATCAAGTGTTGTGCAGCAGGATGTTTTCATATTGGATTGCTTTTTGTTGTGGAGTGGTCATGCTTCCTTATTAAGGGCACTTAGGAAATCACATAGTATCTCCAGTTATGCTGTGACATAGCCCCTGGCTGTTATCAAATACCTCTTTGTTGCAGGGATACTAGCTGAATCATGCTATTTGCTAAATTGGTTCATTAGCTAGCTACTTTAGTAGGATTCCTAATTGCTTTCAAGTACACAAATACTAAAAGTCCCACAGAAAATTGTTCAAAGGTAAAGCTGAGTCTGAGGTGTGAAATTAAGTGTATTTATTTTTTTCTGTGATGTTAGTGAGCCGTTGCTCATCTTTGAGATCAGTTTTATCAATTTTTCTACAAGATATGAAAATCTGTCAGATTATTTCAAATGATATTGGAATGTTTTTAGGTCAGTGCTATTAGTCGTCTGTAATACTACTGCTGATGTCATCTCTTAGGTTCTTTTTTAGGTGATTATTAAAATGTGCTAGTGATTCCTTCCTGTGACATACTAACATCAAGGGAACTGAGTGTTGGTGTATATGTTTGTTAGCATACATTTGTATGCTCTTAGTGATAAGTTCAACTGGGAACCATTGAGGTTCAAGCTGGTTTGTTCATTAACAGATATTGTTCTGTTTTTTTGTACTAATTTAATTTTTCCCAGACCCTAGGCTGGTGTTCAAAAGATCCTAATGTCTAATTTTACTTTGTACAATCAGTTGAAGCTGAAATAGTACTGGGAAATTGAGTTGTAAACGGAAGACATCCCTTCTTCCACTTACCTCAGTCCATTTTTTTAGTTCATGCAGACTTATTAATGATCAACTCATACTCCCAGCAATTTGTTCAACAACTTTTGTGCCTTTGTTTTCATAAGTTAGTCTCACTTCTCAAAATGCAACACTGAATTATTTCTTTCTCTGCATGAGCTGCAATCTGCTTGTGCACTCATGAAGATTGTATTAATCTGTTTCATTATGTTTTTTTCATCACTTACTAACTGATCTTCTTCCTCTTATCTTTTTCCTTTCTTTTTTCCCATTGGGAAATTATTTAAAAGGAGGTTAGATGGAAAGATTGGGTTAAAGAGTTCCCAGTAAAGTACGTAGGAACTGCTTGAAAGATTTTTATATTTGTTGTAAGTAGTTTTCAGTTGCCAGATTCCTCTCCTTCAAGAAGTCAAGTAAAGTGTTAGATGAAACAAATCAGTTTTGCTCATCTTTTGTGAACTAGAAAGGTATTGTGATGACTTTTATTCTTTTGTCTTTACTGAAAACTTCATGGGGGTAAAATAAAGAATTGCATAGTATCACTAATGAATTCCTTAAAGATGTAGACTGGCTTTATTTTTTGAGTGGAGAATCCAGTTACTGAGATTCTTAATGGAATTAAAGGGTTTTTTTCTATGTCTGTTCCAAATTTTTGCAATTCCTTGTTGTGATTAGAATAATGAAAATCAGCAAAATTTGTTTTTTATGGCAGACTTTCTAACTGATTTTTGAACATAACAAGTAAAAGATCAGTTTGTGTGCTAATCCAGAACAAAGTATAGAGGCTGAAGATTTAATGTCACCATTTAGGGATTTGGTACTTAGGCTCTACTGTGTCTTGATATAAATGACCTTAGTCAAGCTTCCAGAGGACCATTTCTATTTCATGATGAATGTGTCATTAGTGGGTAGTGGGTGGAATTTCTGTTCCTCTACCTCATGGCATAGAGAGTATCAAGAAATAACCGGTGATGCATATGCTTCTTTATATAGGCGCTCTTCATATTAAACTTTTAAAGAACTGATTAAATTTGAAGGGACTAAATTTAAACCAGGATGGAGTTATAAAAATGCTTAAAGTAGTTTTAGGTTTTCAGTTTGGTTATTCTCCCACTTGAAAATAGGTGAGTAGCTTAAGTTAATTTTCAATATTGCAATACTTCTAATTTGAAACTTTTAAAATATTTGTTTTTTGAAATGTAATTATGTTACTATTCAGGAAAGAGTATTCATATACATTTTGTAACAGAATTTTTAGATGCAAGACCATAACTTAAATATCCTAATTTTTTCACTATAGTTGTATTCAAGTCTTCTAAGAGATTAATTGTGCCTCCCATTTTTTCATCAGGCTGTTGATTTCATCAAGGGAAATCCATTCCAACTTGAGTCACAAGTAGAGAAATTAAATTAAAAGTTTCTCTTAAAGCCAACTTAGTTTCATGTAGCTTCTCTCTCCTTAAGTTATAGTTTTTTATGTGGATCTACTGTGATGAGTTTTCATTGTGCCTTACTTGTGGTACATTCTGGCTACAGAATTTGGTGTACTACTCCTTCAGTGCATGTGATGTTCTGCGGGTGACTTATTCTTGCTCAATTCTGTTACGTTGCCGTATCTTTCTGCCTGTGTTGTGCAGATTTTTGAGACGATTGGCTCATAGTTGGAGAGAAAAATGTAATGATTTGCCTTATTAAAGGCTGTTTTAGGTCATATTGCAGAGTACTTTACTGATGTAATGTGAAATTAAATACATACAGCTGTAGCCTTACTGACAGTGGAACTGAAGCAGTCCTGCCTATCTCTTGTAGTCCTTTGTATGAGTCTTTGTTAGTTTAATTTTCTTCATCTTAGTGAGGAGCTCCTGGAGCTGCTTTTGGCAGTAGTGGATTTGAGTGAAACTCAGGGCATTTGTGGTTCTGGAGAAGCATGACTGATCCTGATTTTTGGATTTATGCTACATATGCTTTGGTTCACTTATGATTTCAGTGGTTGTAACTCTTTCCAGAAAGAAAAACTTGATGTTCCTACTATCTAAACTAAGTCATGCAACAGACACTTCACATTATTTGTTTGTGTATTTGGTGAATGTGTATGGCTGAGTTTGAAGTTAGTTTGAAGATAAGCTGCAATAAACTTTGTTCTTTGTTCCCAGATAATAGTGCATTGACTCCAGCAGAGGGTGATTTTGGCTCCTTTAAAGAGGAAGTCAGCTTAGTTTAGTACAGCACATACATAATGCTTTCAATATTACTAATGTAGGAAGGACTTTTAGATACCTACTATCATATTTTCCAATTCACATGAAGATATGTATGTAGTTAAGTTTGATCTCTTTTTTTGAATGTGCTGTCCAAGAAGATAGATATCATTGAACAGGTGCTCCTGGGAAAAAAGTGTGAGGGAGAGTGTCATATGAACACCCCACAGATGCTACAGTTGGCCAGTATGTTTGATATCTGTGTAAAAGTCATACATTTTTCCATTTGTTTTTTAGAAAAAGAGAACAGGAGTTCTTGCTAGTGCCTCTACAGACCTGTTCTTTACAGCAGTCAGGAATGCTAAGTTGTACTGTGTTTGCTTCCCATCCAGAAAGGGCCATATACCTGTCTTGCTATTTCTTGATGTACCCTACTTCCATTTGAGTAAACTGAAGTCTTCTGTTTCTCATCAGCCACTCTTACTCAATCTTGAGCATGGATTTGAGGTTCTTTTTAGAAAAGTTCTTTTTAAACCTAGGTTATGGAGCAGAAATCCTGCATTATTAGGGCTGCAGGCAAGGTTGACTACAATATTAGTTGGGTGGCATTGCTCTATATGGATTAGTGCAGGCTATGGTTGTGGTTAGTTATGTAGTTAGGCACAGGGAGCTCCATGTGAGCATGACTCCACCAGTGATCCCTTCCAACCATTCTGTGCTTCTGTGCTTCCTTTGGAACCAAACTCATTTGGTGGTCAAGTTGAGCAAAGTTTTTTTTTTTACCTTTACATTTTTATGACTGCTCCTGTCTTAGTTAGCAAATACTTCTGATGCACTTTTCTACTCTGGGTATTTTACAAGAAGCAATGAAATGATCTTCACAGTAAGATACCTGGTGAGTTGGTTGGGATAATACTATATCCCCGTTCTTAGTAAATCTATAATGATGACAACTCAGAATATTCTGTGACTCTGTAAAACCCAGTAACTAGTAACCCAGGATGCCTGCCTCACCATCTGAAGGTTTGTTAAAGTATGATTCCTACCTATTTCTGCCACTGAATGTGAAGTGCTTCTGTCATGCTCAGTGATACAAAACTAAGCTTAAGACATCTAGTTGAAACTCCATTGATTGACTTATCATTGCAGGAATAAAGTCCAGTCTCCCATGATTCCTTCAAGTTATGTTGACTAAAATTTAAGTAGTTAGGTTTCTGCAATCTCACATATCTTATTTTGTTACGAGCCTGTAGGGTTTTTTTGGTAGTGGTTCCTATTTTATTGAAATTTGAAAAAGGAGAAAACCTGGCCTGATGTCAGCAAAGGGCATGGCAAATGCCTTGAGTGCACCAAACTTCTGATGGTGCTGTACTTAGTTAAAATGGGAATGACAAAACAAACCTCAATAGACTAGGCTCTTAGCTCTGGTTATAAATAGATGAGATATAACTGCTATAATAAGAGGAGAGCTTGGAAGGGTGAGGGAAATAATATTATGGTAGTGATTTTCCTTCCCTCTACTTTCATCTACCTTAATCTCTGACCATTCAGGCAACAACTGGTAATAATCTTGAATTACAGACTACTGTTAGTCTCTATAGCTGACTAATTGTTTACAGATGTTTTCTGCAAACTTATATATTATTTGTCCAGAATTATATTTTTGTGCTTGCTACCTTGCCAAGCAGTTGCTGCTATTTAATAGCTAGTAGACCTCTCCACGGTGTCAAGTAAACTCTTTAATGGGTCAATTAACACTGTCAGCAGCTCTGATCATGTAGAGACTTGTCTACAGCCAGTTAACCATCTTCCTTTTTTTATTTTGTGGGGTGGATAATGGAGAGGCCTCTGGAATGTCTCCACTTGTCATGCAGGAAAGCTCACAGGAACTGAGAGAGTGAATGTTGGGTTCCACTTGATTTAAAGTCTGAACAAATATTCCCAGAGAACCACAACTTTCACAGTGACTTGAACAATTTACATAGAAATTTCATGGTAAACTAATAGGAATGAAGATTAATCTAATCTTTATTAATTTTTTTTGGCAGTAAATGTTTTCGTGTCCTAAAAATCAGACACCATCTATACTGTTAGCTCTAGAAGACAGCCTTGGTTTTCCCTTTTTCTGTTGAATGTCCTTTGAGATACAACTGAATCAGACCTTCATATTCACTTTGAATATAAAGAGCTAAACTAAGGAGCATAAATACACCGAAGGAGCAGAGACAGGGTTAGACCGACTGAATTGGTATTGGAAAAGTGCTTAGTGCCTTCCCTTAAGGCTCTGAAGAGATGTGGGGGAGATTAGCAAATTGCATCCACAGAGTTGCTTTGCTTCATCCCCTCACTTTGAGTCCATTGTAGAGGTTAATTCCACTAATACATATGAAAGGAAAATTACAGGAGCACAGGGATGCCAGAATAAAACCTGGAGAAGATACTGTTACTGGAATAAAAATAACTATGGAAATAACAAAAAATACAGTTTTTAACATGTATTGGAACCTTAGGAATTAACAAATATATGTCTGGCGCTAGTGTAATTTCAGGTCTTTCTTGTGATTTCAGGTAGTAAGCTCAACAAATGGAGAACTGAACACAGATGACCCAACTGCAGGCCGTTCAAATGCACCCATCACAGCTCCTGCAGAAGTAGAAGTAATGGATGAAACAAAGTATGTCCTTCTTTTTATATTCTTTGGATCTTTTGTGCTCAGCTGCTTCAATATTTTTTGATAAAATTTTTCAGAAAATGTCTGAACTGAATAGCCATTAGTGAGGAGCAAAACTACAGTGCTATACTTAATTTTGTCTTTAAGTTTCTAAATAGTAGAGTTCCTATAGCTTGTGCTTTTTTAGCCTAAGCCTTGAATGACATGTCTTGCTATGCTGGCTAGAGAAGTGCATGCATTTTTGATGTTTCAACTCATTGTGAAATACTTATTTTAAGATAGTGTTCTGACTACCAAAAGCCATGTGTGGAAAATGTAAAATTCTTCCTCTGTATTGTATTCTGATTCTCTTTTTTCCTTTACTCTCTTTCTGTATAGCTGCCAGAAAGTGTTGAACATGTGGTGAGTTATACAGCACAGGCAGGCAGAAACAGCCCCAGGAGCTTTGTCCTTTTTATTGGGTTTAAAACTAATTTCAGAAAACTTAAAATGTCTATTTAGAAATGACAAAACACATTTTAATTCTGTGAAACAAGTAACTGTTTTTACAAAAAGCCACCTTCAGGAGCTGTTCTGCCTGCTTCAAAGCCTGCTTGCTTTTAAGTTGAGTAGTTTGTGATGTACTTTATGTCAGCCTTTTTGATGGGTACTAGAATATTTTTTATTTTCTATTCTGTTTGAAAGGGGAAAGCATTCTTTTCAAATAGCATTCAACTAGTGTATTAACATCTGGAAAATAACTTGCATGAATAAGTAATAATTGCTAGCAAATGTTTGAACTTTTCCAGTTATCGCTGTAAACAAACTATTTACCAAACTATTAGTCTATGACAACTTTCTAACTAATCACTAAAATTGAACTTCAGAGTTCCTTAATTCTTAATTACATCCAGTGTAATGAAAGGGAAAAATATTAAGATCTGTTACCATGGGATGGACAAATAATATTTATGTATTTGAGTAGTAAACTTAGACTTGAAAAATAGTACAGAAGAATATTCTTGATATGAATTCCAACATGTTTCATTTTATAATTGTGCTTGAAATAGGATTTTACAAGGGTATGGATCTAGTTTATCATAAAATAGAGGCACACAGCTATGAAGGATACATTAGTAGCAGAGCAATTCAGCGGCAGCAATTTTTCTAGGACCCATTTTCCTGACTTTAGAGAAGAGGGAAATTTCTCAAAGTGAAATTTTTTTGAAGCAATTGTTCTGCAAGTTCTGGTTCTGGTAAGCTTTATTTGCATGTGTAATTAATAACTTGAATGGAGGTGTCTGTAGGGCCACATTTTTGCACTGGCTTTCTGTAAGCACTGAGAAGAACTAAACTCTTTGCTGCCATCTTTGTGGAGTACAGTATTATTTTACTGTCAAAAATATATCAGTTCTCTGATATATATATATATATATATATTTTTTTTAAACAAAAAAAAAAAAAAATCCAATGGGGCAAGGATATTGATAGGCTGCCTGTAGATAAATTCCTTGTCCCCTCTCTTCAAATAAGCACAGTGATAATCTTCCTTATGCTCAGCTCATGTACACACAGAAAAAGATGAAATTTCTTGCACTTTGAGTAGTCCTTAGCACAATTAAACCCATTTTTAGTTCCCTATTTTACTTAGTTATCTGCAGAAAGTTAAGAGAATTCTCAGGTGCCAAAATGCTCAGCTGCTTGAGAAGTGTAGGAGTTCACTTTTTCTGATACGGACAAATATGCTATCCTTGATCTTTTTGGCCTACTCTTAACTGGTTTCGTTACAGACAAAATAATTACTCTCAGTGTCCTGCTGTTTAGACTGATTTTCCTGTTTTTAAGTATGTAACACTCAAATTAGTGTTTCGACACTGTCTGTTTAAGCTCAAGTTTCCTCAGTGACTAGAGGTTTTTCTGGGGGTAGTTTTTTATATTTTGAAGTTGTTTTATATTTTAGCAGTTAATTAACATACATGCACGCCCACTCACCCTCACCTCCTCTCCAGCTTTGCTATCAAACATCAATGCATAAGTACACATTTTTTTTCAGAAAGAGCATTTTAGAAGATTTTAATTTTACATTTTAACATCATAATTACAAGCCTAATATCAAAAGGGTTTGTGGCACATTCAGACATTTGTTTATAGATTTTACACTGTGGAATAGGTAAGGGAATAGGATTACTAGTATCCTTCATGTCTGTGACATGGATATTTTTTGTTCTAAGAAGACATTGTTTTCTCAAAAGACTCTAACTTTGTGCCTCTTTCATAATCTTTTTTCTGCCTGAAAGTATGAACAAAGCTAACCTCTCTTGCTCATATCTTCTTTTTGTAACATTTCCTCATACTCTGAAAAGACAAACTTAAATCTTACTTAAAATGCTTCATTCTTTGTTCTAGATGTTTTCTTAGTTTTAGAAACTTAGCATGACTATATCTTCATTTAAAAGACTTTAAAAAGAGTGCCCCTCATGTGGGATTGTCCCCATTATGTATGATTTTAACTGTGAACACAAGTGTAATTTAGGTGAATATTAGAGCTTCTGCTACCATTTCAGTGAAATCCTGTAAATCAGGAAGGATAAGTTTGGGGTTTTTTTCTTCTGTAAGGATTTTATTGTTTTGGGACGTTTAACCAACGTTTAACCAAACAATTCATTGTTCAATAATTATTTATCTACTCACATGTAGTATATATTCTAAACCTTATGCCGTGTCATTTTCACGGTGGGTGTGCAGCTAGCATGACTTAGCAGTGGGTGTTGTGTTTTGGGAATTTCTTGGGTTTGTTTTTTTGTTTGTGAGTGTTGGGGGTGGAGGGGGTTGTTGGTTTGATTATTTTTGTTGGTTTGGGTTTTTAGAGAAGTTGCTTTCTGCCCTATTTCAGTTACTACTTACTGAAGTTGTAAAGCAAGGAGAAAACTAACCTGATCACTGTGCTGCCCTGACGCTTGGGGATCTACAGATCTATTTATAGTCTTCTACAGATGCTCTTTCTTTTATCACGGAGCAATTAACCTGTCTTTCTTGTTTATTAGTTAGCAGAACAGTTGCTTCTATGAAGCATGTGTGATTTGGATAACCAAAAGGCTGTACTGTGGGAAGGCAAGAGAAGGGCAAACAGGAAGTGATTATATGATCTGTCCTTTTTGCATCTTGCATCTTTTTTGCCACTTTAAACGCTTGTTACTAATACTTCACTAAAGTGCCTGCCACAGGCTTGATGGCAAATATAAAAACACAGCTGTCTAAACACAAATGACAAATTAAGTTGCTTTAGACTTTTGGCCCAAGGCACTGTTCAACTGGAAGGAAGGGTATTTAACAGGAAAAAAGATATGATAATGTCTTAAGAAGGATAAGAAGTGTTCAAAACCATAATGCTGAGATTGCTACCTCAGATAATACCTCAGAGGACACTTTAGATTGTACAGGAAAAGTGCAGTGTTTTTTGCACTTTATAGATTACTGTTACACTGCCAACTCTAGAAATGCTACGTAACTCCAGATGAAGGTTAGCAGTCATTAAATACTTTATTTTAAAAAAATCCTTTCCTAGAAGTAGAATTTTTTAAAACTTACCTCTTCTGTATTTTGCATGCATATTGAATAGTGTAATAAATTTGTGGCTTAATAGTCCTTAATAATGCACCTATCTATAGCTTTAAATATAGCTCTAAGCAATGTAATATCTGTATTATGTGTGTGTGACAATAACACCCTCTAGTGACAGTATGCTTAAGAACAAGTCTACATTTCTGTTATGAATTATATTCATTGAGAGATTATGCACTGTGAATCTCTGACCCAGGGTTATGTTTCTTTCACAAAACTTATTGTCAGTCAATAGAGCCTGTTCTATCATAATCCCATTTAAAGGTTCGTATATTTTAAAATTGCAATTTTTTGGCCTTGGAAGCCAATTTGAAGTCTAGCACTTCTAGATTTAAAAATTACAGTGTTTAAGTGTACTTCAGTTCAGATTTCCAAAACAGTCCTATGGTTTACAATTCATCATGGAATTTACATTCCTTTAGTCCTTTTTAGATATGTTATATATTATTAAGATATTTATTTTTCTACACCAAATAAATTTTTTCAGCATTTAGCAATTTTTCCTTGAATTGAAATACAGTTGAATAGTTTTTGTAGTTTAAAAAAAAAACCAAAAAAAAGAACTATTAATAGAAATTATACTCACTATAGCAGTATTATACAAACTCCAGAAGACCAGAGGACTAAAATAGCAGTGCTTTATGTTGCTTAAAAATAGAACTGTTGAATTTGCCATTGCATGGTGCCCTTTTTCTCTGGTTGACAGGGAAGTAGCAGAAGGAATAAAAAACAGTATGAGAATTGCAACAAAGATAAGTTAAAATTTTCTAATAAGAAAAGCAAGAAAACCTAAAGTGTCCTTGAATTGCAAAGAGGATCCAAGTAGTCCTAAATGTTTAAGAAGTCTGATCTACTTGGGTTGTGATCCATGTAAGCAAAGTTTATTTAATGAGTGAAGAGTTTAAATTCTAGATAGCTGTTCTAGAATATAAATTAACTGTCTGCTGTACTTTCATCTTCCTACAGTTACTTAGGTAACCTGGGTTCTGTATATGCTAATCTTATAAATCAAGACAGAGTTTTTCTGTGGGCTTTCCCTAAGGCATGCTAATCTTGAACAAGTATAAAAGTGATTTACCATCACAGTTGAGGGTAGGATTTCCTCATCTACAGGATCATAGGATCATTCATATTGAAAGGGAGGAGCACTGCTTTGCTTTTATACATGGCATATACATATATAAAACACTTGGGGTGAAAAAGGAATTAAACTAAATTGGGGTTCATACATCTGCAAGTAAATTAAAAGGTTAAGTGGTAATGAATGTTAGTAGTTATAGGCAGATGCTAAAAAAAAGGATTAGTAAATATGGGGGAATTTCAGTTACAGTCAGTGGCTCCTACCCTTCAAAATCAATTATATTTCTTCTTTAAGAAGTACTTTATATTTAGTAAATACAGTGTGATACTTCTGCTACCTGTAAAAATACTTACCTATGTAGTTTCCCCTACTGAATTTTAATTTTGGGCTTCCTCTTCATCAATAACCAATGTTTTTTTCTACTGAAAGTTATGTAACTCTCAGAGCAGTTCTGGTCTGCCTCTGCCCACTGCTACTTTTTCAGTGACTGAGCGACAGGGTGCCTTGGATATTTTGAGAAGGTAACTTCTGTCTCCCCTTACTTTGGATGTTGTTCTCGCCCCCTGTAGAACCTTATTTCTAGATCCTTATTCTCCCTGAAATTTAAATGCTTTTCCCATTTCCCAAACTAAATCATCTGAATTCCTTTTGAATTTTAGCAATATAAAATGTTTGGTGGACTTAAGGATTTACCAATCAAGACTGTTGATGCAGTACATTTATATTTTCACCACTGCTGTACTTACAGTTTAAGACTCATCAGTGTATAGTGCTGCAAGTGAGAATTCAGTAACCAAACCACAGAACTCCATGGGACAAGCTCTATTAGAGTAGATACCTTGCAGTTTTGGTCACACACATTGTGAACACTTTAGTGTGAAGCTTTATTTTTAGAGGTGGTGTTCAGGACCTGGGAGTTGCTTAAAATAAGCGTAACAGTACAATTTAAATGTGTGTGTGTGTGTTATTTGTTGCTTTCCTCTTTAGTTTATTTTCAAAAGTACTTTCTGGACTTCTGCAGTCCTTCTGTATATTATCTGTATCTAACTCCCTCCAACTCTTTTCCATTTTGTAGTGTTCTTTCAGGTATTCCCAAATTGTCTCTATTTGCTAAGTGAAATTCACAGTGTTTGTCAGTTAGTTTCATTCATGTAGTATTCAATAAAGCCGAAGAGAGAATATCAGCGTTCTTTACATTTAAGCTGTGATTTTTCGCTGTAGTAGTTATTATCACTGCACTGGGTCAGAACATTAACTATGTTGTCCATTAGAATTTTCTTCTAAAATGTCTTGTGGAATAGCCTTGGAGAAAGTTTTTCTAAGTTCTGGTTGACACAGGAAGCTCAAATTGTTTTCTTGTTTTAGCAACAATAGTGTCTTAAGTGCGCAGTTTAGGTGATATAGTCATAAGCACAAGCTTCCATTTGGCATATTGCAAGTTAATATGAAAGAGTACTCAGGTAATGAATATTCCGTATTGTTACAAATGCATTTTTAAGTCAGCCTATAATACCTGTGTTTTTGATACTCTCATCAATACTCCAAGCTTAGTAGCTAGTTGCATTATAGCTTTAGTTTGATACTTTTTACCAAAAAAGGTGAAATATGTCAAAAATATCTCTACTTTAGTTTCTTTCTTTAATAAATCAATTGCCTGCAATAGAGCTTTGATGAGTTCCTTGTGGTGCTGGCTGTATCTAAGCTACATACTTCAAGTGAGACATACAGTAAATAGTTCAGTTTTGTGGGTTCTTTTATATCATATGTAACTCATGTCACACTTGCAGGTGCTGCTGCTTATTCAAGCGGAGGAAAAGGAAAACCATCCAGCGCAACAAATGACTAGAACCAAACAGAGCACGGGAAAATGCTTATTTGTTCAACCGTTGTCTTGTGATCTTAAAAAAGTCCCAACAACAAAACCCAAAGCAAAAACCTCCATAATAAGCACATTTTCCGAGGACTTCCTGAGAAACAATATCATGCTTCTGTGTTATAATTTGGTTCTTCTGCATCCATCTTCTGTTTCTTTAATTCATCTGTTCTGAAAGCTTTAAGATATTGTCAAATAGAAGTGCTTCTTTGACCATCAACATATGGACCAATGAAGTGATAGAAAATGAACAGTATCTTGAGCAAAACTGAACTTGAGAAGTATTTCTTCTTTCCTAGGAAGTAGTAGCAGTGTCTTAGGTGAAGACGGATGTCATAAATCAATTATTTGAGTTTGTAGCAGTGTATCTAAAGCAGTTTTCTTCAAAAAGAAGAAGAAAAATACAGGTACACAACCATAATGCAAAATAATAAAATCTTAAGATTTATTTTGTGACACTTGCATTGTTCTTCTTTTGCCTTAGTATTACTGGTTAGTCAAATTGTTACTCCAGTGAAATTGACACTGACTAGAGATACCGGGGATGCTGGTTTAACTGTTGACAGTTGTCAAAATGCTGGTGCTACTAACAGAAAGTATTTCTAATATCCTTTCAGTTTGAAAACCTGCTTTTATTTTGCCTACAGTGAATATTGCAGTACAGTAGAAATTATAAGAGTATTTGTGCAAGCATACAAATGTTTATATAATTTTAAGTTGTACCTCTGGTAATGTTAACAAAATTTATTTACCTTCAAAAGAGCTCTACAGAGCAAATACTGAATCTGGTTAAAGCAGAATAAGTATGAAAGTCTGTGTGTTCACTAAGATAGTTGATGATGGACAGCATCTTTAACTTGAAAATATGGATGTGCCATGTAAAGTAAGAGGCGTACTATTTTGCTTTTTAATTTAGAAAATAAATGCAATGGGAGTGAGTTAGACTTCTGCCTTCACTGCGTACTAGCCCAGCACATCTGGAATTTCTTGCCTTTTTTTTCCTGGAATTTTCTTGTCTTGTAGTGTAAGGTCACTAGTATCTTAGGATGGCAAGGATGTGTCAGATGCTTCTCTACAGTCCAATAAAGTGCTTGCAATATGAACAAACCAACAGTTCTGTAGGCAAGACACCCCATTTTGTATTTTCTTCTTCAGAAAATATATGCTTCTTTTAAAACCATAGTGACAGAGTTTTGGTTTTGTCATGTTTTAACGGCCAGTTATTGAAGAAGGGCTGTGGAAGATGGAAGACTAGACAGATTTATTGACTGAAACACAGATTATCTCAGTTTCTTTAGAATTCTTCTAGAGCTAATTAGCGCCTTTTTTTTGTCCACAAATGTCTTTTGGCATACTTATTTATTTTTCATCTGCTTTGTGGTAGCATTTAAAATGTACATAAAAGCAAAGGTACATCTTTGAATTAATCATTGCATTTACAAGGATTTTAATTTTATTTTGTAATTTATTTTTCATTAAGAGCCAAAATTGTATTTTATTGTTTGGATTATGTGCTCATATGTATACTTTGATCTTTGTCATTATTACTGTTCATGCTCTTAAGTTTTTGTTTTAGAAAACCTGAACTTGGCCTACAAAAACACACTGTGTAACAGGTCATAAGATTCCACTCGACCAGAGTGTGTTACTGATTATTTCAGACTCATAAAGTTATTTCTTTGTTTTTGTTTGAGCTGAGAAGTAGGTCACTTGACCATTCTCTTATGAAAACACATCCTTCTTTGTATTACTTGACCAAATCTGTTGCTTGTACATGTGGTATGTGTATTTCTCACACACCTGGTGAGTTTTATTCTTGGAGGTTTTTAATCTCTACAGTGTTTGTATCATCTGAACTCCTTAACAAGACATTGTGAATATTATGGACTTAAAATGGTTGAATATATAAAAGCTGTTTACTTGCTGAAATGATTAGCAAGGCACTTGTTTTTCAGCAATTTAAGTGCTTGATTTTAATGTGGAAGAAGGTTTTCTTCTAGTAAAGCTGTCGGCTCTAATGTAGGTATCCCAATATTATTTGCATTTATATACTTTTTCTTCCTGTCTACAGTAATGAAGTAAACAATGGCTGGATGTCTAAAACTGAAATACATCCCTGCTTAAATGTAAGAAAAAAAAATAAAGATAGTTTTTTAAAATTTGCATTTTTCCCCCCTTTCCTACAGTCATAGATGAAATAATGTTTTAAGATGTGCTGAACAAGTGTAATTGCTTTGGATGGGAATGAATTTGGAAGCATGATTCTCATAATGCTATCTTGACTTACAGTTGTGTTTGCTTACTTAACAGATGTTACTGGTATGTGCTTTAATAGACCTGATAACAGCAACGGAGTGAGGAGATCTCAATGCACACATTTGAAATCTAGTAATGGATTAAAGTTTATGCTCTCTGTGCCACCTTAAAAAAGACCTGAAGAGGTCTAGGAAAAGCGTGAAAAGGACATGTTTTGGGTTGCTCAAAGTCCCATCCAGCCTGACTTTGAGTGTTTCTAAGGATTGGGTATCCACAACTTCTTCGGGCAACTGGCTCCAGTTGCTTGTCTGACCACCTCCATGGAAAAAAAGGTCTTCCTTATATCCAGTCTAAATCAACCCTCTTTCAGTTTGTTCTGTAATTTCTTGTTCTGTCACAGGCCTTGGTAAAAGTCTCCATGTTGTATGTTGCACGTTTTGAAAGCCCACAATTGGGTATTGCCAGAATCATCTTTTCTCCAGGCTGAAAAAATTAATCTTTCCTTATAGGAGGGGTGTTCTCATCCTCTGTTGGTTTTTGTTGCCTTCTCTGGACATTCTCTTGACAGATTGCAAGTGTTTCTCCTGCTGGTGACCCCAGAGCTGGACATAGCACTGCAGTGGGCTCTCACAAGAGCAGAGGGGCAGAATCCCCTCCCTCACTGTGCTGTCAACGCTGCTTTGGATGCAGTCCGCAACACGGTTGGCTTTCTGGCTGGTGCATATTGCTGTGTCATGTCTAAGTTTTCATTCATCAGTATCCCCAGATCCTTCTCTGGTCTCAAACCCTCCATCCACCAGTCTGTACTTAGAGTGGTGGTTGCCCTGGGCCAGTTGCAGGATGTTGAACTTGTCCTTGTTGTCCTTTAGAAAGTTTGCATGGGTGCACTCCAATAGCTTGTCAAAGTCCTAAAGTACGTAGAAGGTTGCTTTTGATAAAGGTGTATTCCTAGGTCTGTTGTTTACAACAGATGGGTGAAGTGAAGATTGGTGGCTGTCTAGGTTGCAGTTGATTGTGAAGATGTTAAGTTTAAGATACTTGGCTCTATGAAAAAAAAAAAAAAATAGCAGAGCTATTACCCAGGATTATGGAAGACAGGCTTTTGACTTTCAAGGGTGTTTGGGTCCAGGCACCCCAGTGGACTTGTGTACAAGAAAGGCTGCTAAGTGATGTGGTTGGAGGCTGTCTTGGGCACAGAGATCACAAAATGATAGAGCTTTTGGTTCTCAGAGAAGTGAGGACGCAGATCAGCTGAACTGCCATCTTGGACTTCTGGAAGATAGGCTCTGGCCTTTCAGCTTTATATCAGAGCAGACTTTGTATAGTATGGAATATTACTTTGGTCAGTTTGGGTCAGTTGTCATGTTCATGTCCCCTCCCTGGGTTTTCCCAGCCTCAGCCTGCTGGTGGTGGGGATGCAGAATGTTGGGGAGATAGTGCTGATGCTGGGCCAGGACTGCTCAGACGTAGCCAAAGCACCACTCTGTTACCAGCACCTCACCAGTCACTAACACAGCACAGCAAGGTGAGGGCTGCCATGGGGAAAAGAACCCATCCCAGTCAGACCCAATACAAGTAAACATGATAGTCATCTACAGGAAGGCTGGAAGGAAGATCCAGGGAACCAACAGGCCTGCCAACCTGACCTCAGTTTTGGGGAAGGTCATGGAGCAAATGGTTTTGATTGCAATCACATGGCAATCACATACAGGATGAGCAGAGGTTTGGGCCCAGCCAACACAAGTTTACAAAAGGCAAGTCCTGCTAAGCCCACAAGGTGACAAGGTGGATGGATCTTCTTAGTGGATGAGGGCAAGACTAGATGTTGTCTGCCTGGGCTTTGGTGAAGTCTTTGGCACGATTTCCTGCAGCATTCTGCTGGAGAAACTGGCTGCCCATGGCTTGGAATGGTGCACTCTTCACTGGGTAAAAAAACTGGCTGTGTGAAGAGCGAGTGGAAGTGAATGGGGTTACATTCAGCTGGTCTTATCTGTGATCTGGACCAGGGCATTGAGTGTAGCCTCAGTAAGTTTACAGACGACACTACATTGGGCGGGAATGCATATCTGCTGGAGGGTCCTGCAGAGATCTAGGCAGCTGGATCAGTGGGCTGAAGTGAGTTGAATGAAAACCTCAAGGCTGAGTGCCGAGTCCTGCCATTACAATAATCCTGAGCAGAACTACATGCTGGGAAAAGAGTGGCTGGAAAGGTGCGCAGCAGAAAAGGACCTGAGGGTGCTGTTTGACAGCAGTGGAACAGAAGCCAGCTGTACCCTGAAGAAGGCATCCTGGCCTGTATAAAAAATGGTGGGGCCAGTAGGAGCAGGAATAATCCCATCAGGATAGTCCCCCTATACAGGGTGCTGGTGAGGCCACACCTCAAGTCCTGTGTCTATTTCCGGGCCTCAGTTCAGAAAAGACATTGAACTGCTGGAGGCAGTCCAGAGAAGAGCAACAGCTGGGGAAGGGTCTGGAGTACAAGTCTTGTGCAGAGTGCCTGAGGGAGCAAGAGGCATTTAACTGGGAAAACAAGGCTCAGGGGGGACTTTGAGGGTGTAGCCAGGTGGGAGTCAATGTCTTCTCTGGAGAAACAAGTGACAGGACAAAAGGAAATGGCCTGATATGGCACCAGAAGAGGTTTAGGTTGGATATTGGGGAAAGATTTCTTCTTCATATGGGTTCTCAAGCATTGGAACAGGCTACACAGGGAAGTGGTGGAGTCACCATCCCTGGAGGTATTTAAAACATGTAGATGTGGTGCTTTGGTACCTGGTTTAGTGGTGGACTTGGCAGTGCTGAGTGTGGTTGGGTTCAATGATCCTAAAGGGCTTTTGCAACAGAATTCTGTATTAATGCTAGGAATGTACTATTGTACCATATTTCAAATGCACAAAGTGCTGGCATTGACTGGCCATTGCTTGGACATGAAGAGCTGTAGCTGACCAGTTGCCTTTCTGTAGCTCAGTTTGAGACAGCATAGCTGCAAAATATTTATTTGGTTTTTGAGGCAGTTGTGTGTGGGTGACTGTGTAAACCCCCACTTCGTTTGACTGGTTGACGGTTGGGGCGTGGTTTTCTAAATGAGTCTTAAATTCATCACATATTAATTTAGTATTTTCTATATTGTTCCTTTCTTGCATTGGCTAGCAAGTTTGTTTTAATAAAATAGCAAGAATTCTTCACTGCTTCAGAGATACAAATCTTGAGACTTCAATAGTAGTCCCTCTTTTTTGGTTTTGTGGATACAAAGGTTCTGAACTTGGGTATCCACTTAAATTTGAATTAATTTTTGAGGGGTAAATCCATTTGTCTCATCAGCTGAGAATGTATTCTGTCTGCATTCTGCCATATGGGGTTGTCCTGAGGATCCCTGCTAGGGGTTTGTTTTCCACATTAATGCCCTCTTTCTGTGAACAAGAGGGACTGAAGACAAAGGTCTTTAGAGCTCCCAAGAATTAGATAGGTAGTAAGTATAAAAAAATTATGCCGATTTGATTGATAAACCTCCCTGCATGGACTGAAATCACAGGTGGATGTAACAATCTAAATTTACTGAGGTAAAGCTAAATTTGAACAGTTTCTTACAAGGAGGACAAATTAATATATTTCTGTATTTATTTTCTTAAATGGAGAAATTGTATTCTATAATCTGGTTGTACTGTGCCATTTTATTAGTTACAGAAAACTACCCTTTCTGGAAAAGACAAGGTAAACTTTTGTAGTCTTAGGAATACCCACATGTTGCAGGTGAAATGAGCCCTCTGTATCAATGACCGGTACGGAGAATTTCAGTATGTGTTAATTCTGCCACCCAGTGAAGCAGTTTTGTGTAGTGCATTATTAAAAAGGTTCCTGCTACGATGAACAGGAAACTTGTCAGCTCTGCCATGTTCTTGCTTGCTTGGAGCATCAGGATTGTCTTCCATCTGCAGTTTCTTTGCAGGAAGCTCTGTGAGCCCCGTGTCCATTTTGGAAGGGTGGTTTACTTCAGAAGCGAGCACAGATGCTGTAAATGCACTTGGGTGGGTCTGTAGAAACTGCACCATGTGGCAATACACTGAAAGTGAGCAAATGAGGGAGGGCACTGTCTGAAGCTCTCTGTGCTGTTGATACCTTCTCTTCACTGAGGAGACCTTGGTACTGTGCATGGCCTGGGCTGCTGTGATACATGAGGTGAGTGGAAACACTGGTGTCAATTTGTGCGTTAAATGTTAGTAAAGCTTAATTTGTTTCTTAAGTGATTTTGTTGTTGGGACTTTTGTTTGCTTGTCTGTTTTTGCTATAAAATTAATATAAATGAAAGTTCTGCTGATTCCTCCCCATACCGCAGTGGATATTCTTGCTCACTCCTGAGATATGTGCACCCCATGTTGGAGCCCAGGGCTGAGAAAACTGTAGGGTGGTACAATCAGCTTGTCCTCTGCAGAAAAGCACATTTACAAGGCTAGTTTTCAATACCTGGCTCAGTACAAATGGTGTCCACAGCTCCTGGTCAATGTTTCTAACAGTAATGGTTTTTTCCACTAGGTTTTGGTAGGAAGTGTGTTTCCACCTTTCAACCTTAGTTGAACTCATGCACCCACTTTGGTTTGATTCGATATAACTTTACACAAACTTGGAAAGCTCTCAAATTAGAGAGGTCTGTGATTCAGCCATAAAATGACAAGACAGCTGGAAAGAGTTTGTTACTTGGGTGGTTTATTTCTAGATGTCTGGCAGTCTGCTGGCTGGGTGCTTTCTGGGGCTCAGTCCAGTCTGGTGTGTGCTGGAGTCCCAGCCTTTAGCCTGCACTGTCAGGGAGGGACATCCAGGAGTTGCAGCCTGAGCATAGCTAGACAGACAATTTTACCTGAGTGGACAACCATGTGAAACTGTGGGTGCCCAAAGGAGTGCAGGGCAGCCCCAGG